AAGCCTAGAGTGTGTGTGGGCTCCAGAGTCTGGGAAAACTCATAAAGGGCCCCTGGGTAAATGGATACAAATATTTTTTTTTTTTATTTTCCACACTCGCCCTTCTGGTAAATCAGTCAGAACTGAAACATTTAATGCATGCAAATTCCTGCGGAACTGGTGACTTTCATGCAAAATCAAAGAATAAGCCGGGAGTAGGGGGAGTTTTCCTGGTGTTATTCCAGTAACTGACAGAGCAATAGTTTGCTTCCGTAGGGTTTTAATCAGCATTGGCTCGACTTCCCTTTTAAGGTCTTAACGTTGACCTATGAAGTCCAGTCAGCCTAACAGCTGTCCCTCTCCTGACACCCATCACAGTCACTCGGACCAGGTCCCTTCATGCAATCAAGCTAACTCCAAAATCACTCTAATGCCATTTAAATGAGAGCCAGTTCTGGAGGTGATGACTTTTTTGCAAGTTACATGGCTTATTTGTTGCTATCTAAGTGATATTGTGATTATTGTAAATAATTGATTTTTCAGTAGGGTTTTAGGTTGGGTTTTGGTGTTTGTTGGTTTTGGGGGGTTTTTTTTGGTTGTTGTTTTTTGGGGGTTTTTTTTGAGAACATCTGACTGGTATAAATAGAAGTAAAAGACTGAGAAAGTCATCAGAAAGATAGATGGTGTTGGAAACCTGGGGAGTGTCTGTCATTCATCTGAAGAAGGTGACTTCGATGTGTTAAAACTCCAAATCTTAGGGGGATGGAGAAGTAAATAGCTGGAAGAGCCAGAAGGCGTTCAGTAAAAACTCAGGTGCTGTTTTCTTTCTTTAGTATAAAGTTTGAGTCCAGATTCCCTTCCTTTGCCTTCCTCCTCCTTCCTTTGCCTTCCTCCTCCTTCCTTTGCCTTCCTCCTTTCATTTTTTTAAATTTCTTCAAGCCTTGTAATGCAGCTGCTAGGCTGCAGGCTATCCGTTGCTTGAGGGTAGAACAGGAGTTCAGTGGAAAACAGAGAGGAATTAGTTCAGAAGGACTGATTTATAAGAAAAGTTAAAGGGGGGTCTGAGTACACGAGAAGGATGCGTGCCAATAAATTAAGAACATACGGATTGTAGCAACCCCTAATGTATGAACAAAGCAGGGCTGGAGGGCAAATTAATGTTTGGCACTGAAGAGAAGTGTAACCAATTTAAGTCTTGCTCTCTTAATTCTATTTAGTTGTGGCTCAATAAGGCACATATTGACAATAAAATCTACTTTCTCTTCCACGAGAAAAAAGTGGAAATTACTGAGGGAGGAGAAAGATGTTTTACTTCAAGAGGCCAGACCTGGTCATTCTTAGACAGTTTGAGAGTGAACCCGTAAGCCCATGTGAAATCTATGTGATGTGTGTTGTACGGGTAGTGATTTTCATTGTTGCCCTTCGGCTGGACTAGTAACCAGTCATCAACAGCTTTTCAAGACCTTGTGCTGTTTCTAGTGCTTCCTTTGACTTTTTTGCTCTAGTAGGTTTGGCTTGGGCTCAATTACAGGCTTTATGTTTTGTCCAACTGCTTCAGTTGTTCTGAATTATTTTATTCCCACTTACTCCTTTCCAGAATCTTGCTACAAAAATCATTTTGACCTTGTTCCTTGAGATTAGATACCACCTCTTCTTTTATTGCTTATTTTTTTTAATATAGCCCTGATCCATTGCTGAACCTGCTGAGCGCTCCTGTAGTACAAACATTAATTTGACCAATTTCCTCTTTTGCTCCACTTCTGGTTTCATGCTTTTGTGAGCTTCATGCTGCGTAGATTCTGAGGAGGAATGGATGTTACCAGGTACTATGGAAAGCAGTACAGCAATATTCTGCTTACGTACAATCATTATTGTAAAATACCCTTTGTTGCTTTCCTCAGAAGCGTTCCCTGTAGTCAGCCTAGGCAGAAGACAAGGAGTGACCTGCGAGCTGTAAATAGCTCAACTATTTACATATAAATAGTGTATCTTTGATGTATTATTTTTATGACACAGTGTTCGAATTACAGCAGACAAACATGTCTTCTGTTTTGTTTGTAAATTAGCATGATTCATCTCGTTTCTTCTCCAGGGCTTGCTTTTATTTTTCCCTGTCTTGCATCTCTTAAAGACATTACTATTCAGTGGAGCAAGGCGGAGGTCGGGGCAGGCCAACACAGCCGACTGAGGACACCCGGGCTAATTGCGTATGCATGAAGGGGACGGATGCGCGATCCAGAACAGGGCCACGCTGTCGCCTTTTAACAGTCAGCCTCGAAAGCAGCAGTGAAAGTCTTTGCCCTAAAAACCAGTCCTAGTCTGTACTCTTGGAGTGCATCAGTTTTGTGATGCTCCTTTATAAGTACAGCTGCTTCCGTTTGTGCCCTTGCAGCCATCTCACCGATCCTGTAGCTTGGAAACAGTAGGGTTTTTGACATCTTAGCTTGGTGTTCAAACTCCGAGCTGATGGTATTTGGGAAGTAAGCAGCACCCTTCATTTTTGCCCCATGCCAACAAGAATATCAGATGAAATATTTGCTGGGCCTGTGTGTTATTCTAACATAGCAAGGAAAAGTTAGTTTGCAGTGGCCCAGTGCTTGAAAGGCATGATGAGGCTTTAGTTCTGGAACGCAAAAACATCACAGCTGATGATGCCTAAGGCTTTCCTTTAAGGAAATGTCTTTTGTTTAAAACATCCGCCAGGACAGTTTTAAATATTTGAAACGTGGTGGGGAGGGAAGAGGACGAGCTGACGTAGTGTCCTAGCTACTTCTTCCTAAAACCTGGATTTGAACAAACCTCAAGAGATTCCCACGAAAAATGAGTTAGAGCTCCAGTCCTTTCCATGGCTTTTCAGGTGTGCACAGCAGAATGGCAGCAGGTCTAGTAACTGCACGAGCACAGTCCCACCTGTGTGTGGGGGGATAAAAATTAACAGAATCCTGAAGTTCTTCAGGAAATTTTATATCATGCTTGCTGGGATCAAGGTCCGTGCAGCCCCTGTTTTACATACATGTTTAAACTAGGAGAAGGTTTGGGGTGTGAAGGAGTTCTTGGGCAGTTCTTCAGCCCCAAGAAGGTATGGGGAAGCCTGGAAGGAAAGGAGGAACCTGAGGTGGACTTCAGGCAGGTTGTTCAGCATTTTCACAGCTCCTGTTAGTGTAATCACTAGTGTCCTGCTCTCCAGAACATCCCTCAGAATACCTGTAGTTCACAGGCGAAGCTTCTCCTTCTCATTCTTCCCAGTGAAATAATGATTTTGATTTGGTTTGTTTCAGAGCTGGAAAAGGAGATCGCCAGGAGACCAAAGAAAGTCTGCATCGTTAAAGTGGTGGGAACAAGGAACCTGTGGAAAAATATCGTAGTATTGTGTGTGAACTCGTAAGTTGAATCTCTTTTCCGTTTGAATAGTTGTGTGGTTGGTGAACTGGAAGCAGTAATGGGAAATGATGGGGGAGCTCCTCTGTTTCCCAGTGTGGGACCCTTCACGTGTCTCTGATAAGTGATCTTGGAAAAACACCAGCTGTTGCAGGGAATTATTTTTTATGGCAAGCGTGGAGGAACACAGTGGCTGTTTCAGGGAGCAGAACCACCTGTCTTCTCAAATGTCTTGCTGCAAGCACATTGCTGTCACAGAATCGCAGCGCGGTAGGGGTTGGAAGGGACCTTGGGAGATCACCTAGTCCAACCCCCCTGCCAGAGCAGGTTCACCTACAGCAGGTTGAACAGGAACATGTCCAGGTGGGTTTTTAATATCTGCAGAGAAGGAGACTCTGCCACTTCTCTGGGCAGCCTGTTCCAGGGCTCTGACACCCTCAGAGTAAAGAAGTTTTTCCTTATGGTCAGATGGAATTTCCTGCATTCCAGTTTGTGCCCGTTACCCCTTGTCTTGTTGCTGGGCACCACCAGTGGTCTCGCACAGCCACGTGCTGGTACATGCTCATGCATGCAGACATCTGCTGCTGGCATCCTGGGTGGGATTTTTGAGATCATTGATGCCACAGGAGCGCAAGTTCCAGTTGTTTACATATGTTATAGCTATGTGGCAGAGGAAGATGTTGCTTGCCAGTAAATATAAGCCTGCTCCCATTTTTGTCCCGTGCCAACAAGAATATCAGATGCAACAGCTGTCCTCAATAGGTCTTCAGAAGTAGATTACAAATTGTTTTAGCGGTCCCAAGTCATGCACAGGGCACACAGGGAGAATGTGCTGTCTCGCACAGAGCAATGCGATGCCTGCTTCCTAAGGCTGCGGCTCGGGAATGCTTACATGGACAAAACCAGACATCTGCCTGAGGCTTTTGCAGGTTACAAGCTCTGAGACCTTCTCTCCAAATCTGAGCACCTTCTGAAGAGGAAATAGATGGGCTGGAAATTTAGACTCCAACCAAAGCCAGCTTCTAGGGGTGGGGGGTGTCAAGGGTGGATTTTCTAATTCTTTAGTCTTATAAAATGCCCATTTTAATTCCTTTTGTATTTTTTTCAAGTGGAAGGTGGGGAGAAGACTGGAAATCCCCCACCCTCTGCTCTGTTTAGAAATACATAGCTTTCCTTGTGGCTTTTTCGTCATCACTTCAGAGCCCTACTCTGCAGCCTTCACTGCTGTTAACAGGCACATGGACCAGTCGTAACCCAGAGAGGACAGTCCCTGTGCTGGGCTAACGCAGAAGTACATGGACTTCAGGGTTCTGTCTCCAGTGCTATCAGTTGCAGAACCAACTCAGGTTTTATGATGTTGTGTCTCTCCCACCTACCAGTGGGTGGCTCTTCTGAAACAGCGTTTCCCTCTTAGGCTGAGCTGGTAGATTTAATAGTCAGTGTTAACTGTATTTGTGAAAAACCCTTTTCCGTGGGGAATTCATCGCTCCTGCCTCACCCTTTTCAGTTATGCATGTTTGGAAATTCCCTAAACCAGAACTAGGCAGCCCAAATAATAACTTCTGGCAATAGCACATCGAGGCTGTTTGCTGTCCAAGTAGAGCATGAAGCAGGTATGTGTGTGAGGAAATAGCTTTCATTTTTGTTCTTATGAGTGGAAAAAAAACTATTTAATTTTAGGATCATAGAATCTTTCAGGTTGGAAAATACCTTTGAGGTCATCAAGTCCAACCGTTAGCCTAACACTCCTAATACCACCTCTAAACCATGTCCCAAAGTGCCTCATCCACAGTCTCTTAAATACTTCCAGGGATGGTGACTCCACCAGCTCCCTGGGGAGCCCATTCCAATGCATGTCAACCCTTCCAGTGAAGAAATCTTTCCTAATACCCAATGTAAACCTCCCCTGGTGCAACTTGAGGCCATTTCCATTCATCCTACCACTTGTCACTGGGGAGAAGTTCCCTCAGCCGCTCCTCACAGCACTTGTGCTCCAGACCCTTCCCCAACTCCGTTACCCTTCTCTGGACACGCTCCAGCACCTCAGTGTCCTTCTTGTAGTGAGGGGCCCAGAACTGACCCCAGGATTTGAGGTGTGGCCTCCCCAGTGCCCAGTACAGGGGGACAACACCTGCCATCATCCTGCTGGCCACGCTATTCCTGATGCAGGCCAGGATGCCATTGGCCTTCTTGGCCACCTGGGCACACTGCCACTGTTGACACACCCCCAGGTCCTTTTCTGCTGGGCAGCTTTCCAGCCACTCGTCCCCAAGCCTGTAGCGTTTCAGGGGATGGTTGTGACCCAAGCGCAGGACCTGGCACTTGGCCTTGTCGCACCTCAGGCCATGGCCCATCAATCCAGCCTGTCCAGATCCCTTTGAAGTACCTTTCTATCCTCAGGCAGATCAACACTCCCGCCCAACTTGATGTCGTCTGCAAACTTACTGAGGGTGCACTTGATCCCCTTGTCCAGGGATTTTAATTCTGTTAGTCCTGTTAGGCAGAGCTGTGCTAAACTTTTGTTGATTGGAACACGGAAAAGGAATCTTTTGCAGGGAATTATGAGACATCAAGGGGAAATAAATGTATTTAGTTTCAAAAGCAACTCTTCTGGGCTAGCTACCAAGTTAAGATAATAGAGGAGTTCCTGGTAAAGCATGGTCGGGAAGCAAAGTGCAAATGATACTTTAATTTAGTTTATAGGTCATGGCCCAGATAATAACTTCAGCAAGTGTGTTTGCATGCACAGAAGAGAGAGAAAAGATACACACTGGTTAACTCTGCCCTTTTATTAAATACTGTTTTGCTGAGTAATATGTCACTTACGGGAGTAGTCAGTTATAATCTAGATATCCAAAGCAAATGACATTCTTCTATATCAGCAAGTGCTTGTGCTAGGTTTTTATCAGGGGGAAGTTGTTTGGTATTGGGGGTGTAATTCTGAACTCTAACATCCATTCACAAGATTGCGAGAGAAATTCCCCAGGCCCTGGGCTGTCATGCACTCAGCAACTGTGTATTCCCCCAGCTGTTCCCATGCTTACATTCTATCCAGTTTACACTGACAGAGCTTCAAATTCCTGACATTCAGGAGGATAGAGGTGTGTATCAGTGTAATGTAACTGCCATTCATTTTTTGGAGACCTGGATCTGTGCCTGCCACTCTGTCAGGCACAATTAATTTGTGGCATGAGGTTTGTGCGGTCTAAATGCTAGGGGCAGGAGGCCCTTCCCTGCAGTGGTATTTGTGCTCTGATGGGGGCATTTGGGAGCATTGACCTCCTGTAGCAGCTCTGCTGCAGTTTTGCACCAGGTCAGGGGTGATGCTGGGGCTTCTCACATGACTTCTGTGCTTCCAGCCTTCTGCTCTCCCTTTCTTTTTTTTCCTTTTCCTTTTCCCTTTCCTTTTCCCTTTCCTTTCCCCTTTCCTCTCCCTGAAAGAAAAGTGAAATGGAGTGGCAAGTTGTTGATTGCTGACATCACAAAGACACTTTTAAAGAAGGGGAGATGCATGGCTATGAAGGGGGCTGTAAATGTGTAGATTGAATAAGGGCCTATTTGTAATAAGCCTAATTGTAATAATCATAGCAGCATGGCGTGTGACTTCAAATGCTCATTTCCAAGGACTTTTCAGCTGTAACAGGCTAACTTGGGAACTGAGATGCGATCTTTAGTACAGCCAAATGCCGTGGGCAGGTGGGTCTTCCTGGAAGAAGAAGTATTCCTGGTATCGCGCCGTGTTTTGCTGTCCAAGCACAGAGGCTGCTTCGTCGCAGCAGCGGTGGCTCTGCGGCTGCCAGCTGATGCACCGGGAACAGGGGGATGCCCTTCTTGAGATACGGAAGTTCTGAAATATGTTGGGAAAGCCCGTTTCTTTTGATCATTGCTTACTTTTACAGTAGCACCTAGAAGGCTGAGTTGAGCCTTTGTGCACCAGGCGGTGTGTTCCTGCAGGAGAAGAAATTCTTCCTGCGTTAACGTGTTGCTACATTGAATTGCGTTGCGGTGTGTGGCTGCCTTCTCCACAGTGATCCCCTCTACCTAGGCTGACGGGTTACGGCATACACCACTGCTTCGCGAAAAGCATGATGGGGCACGAAGCGAAGATGGCGATTACCCACAACTTCTATGCGGACTACTACACCATGGCCGGGATTGCGCTGGCATCCTGCCTGGCCATGTGCCCGGTCGTTGGGTTTCTGGGGAGGAGAGGAGGACTCCTGCTTTTCATGATCCTTACAGCTCTAGCATCGCTTCTGCAGCTCGGCCTTCTCAACTGTGAGTTGGAGAGGAGTATTTTCAGGACCACCCGATTTGACATGCAAATAAGGGACCAGGAAATATTAGCATTTCCTTTGCCTTTCTCAGATCTGTCATACCGTACACCTGCTCAGTTTAAGAAGCTGAATTCATTTGAAGGATTCCCCGAACACTCGTTGTCTTAGGTTCATTAACAAAAGGCATTGTGTTCTGGATGAGTCCCTGTGGAGAAGCTCATTGATCATTGGGGCTGCTTTTAGGGCTGTCGCTTGAAAAGAAACAAACAAAAAACACTTTTAATTTTATTTCAGTCAAATATCCCCTGGGGAAAGACCTGGATAGAGGTTGGGGAAGGGAAAACTTTCCCACTTGAATCTGCTTCTTGAATGGCCTCTAAAAAAGCAAAAGTAAAGAAATAGGTGTATGTCCTCTGCCTGCTCTGAGCACCTTGCTGCATGTGAGTAGTGTACAGGCAGCATGGAAATACGCAGCTGAGAGACCCTACTTTGAACGTGGTGTGTACGTGTAGTCCATGTAAACTTACACACACGATTTCGTGAGGTGACACAGCTTCTCAAATGGGTTCTTCCTGCCAAAAGCAAGAGTGCTCTGCCTCCTTCTTCGCAGGCAGTGACCTTTCTCTGGCCATTTTGAGCTGCTTCAGCTATTAAAACTGCTACAGAAATATACCCTTCCCTTTTTTAAATTTTATTTCCTTGTCTTAATTTTCTGTTGGTTGAGGAAGTTGAACGTGATGGATGACAGAGGTGTTGAAGCAGCAGGAAGGTGGGATGTGCTTTGCCATTCTCACAGTGGCCAGCCACTAGACCCCTGTCCCATGAAACCTCAGCCCAAGGCATGGGGAAGAAGGTTGAGATGTGCTTTGGACAAACTGGCTGGGAGACAGACACCAGAACACTGGTTGTTGCTGGTTTTCATTTCTAAGTTTAGAAATAATTAAGGGCTTTAATGAGAAAGATTTTTTTTTTTTGCGTTGAGAATGGAAAGATTGCACGTTCCCGCATGCTGAAGGCAGCCCCGAGCCAGCAAACGTTATCCATATTTACAGACCGTGCTTCCTGAAAGCAATACTAAGTTAACCTTTAGGGAACGTGCTATTTCTGGGAGTGTAGGAGGGAAACAGGGAACCTCTTTCATGACATGGAAGAAACTCAAAAATTGCATGTGTTTGCTCCCAGCTTGGCACAGGTTCCCTTTATGTTCCCTTTGAGCACACGTTTACCGTGTCCAGCTGTGCCAGGTGGGAGTAGGAGAAGCTCCCCAGCCCCATTTCACCCCCAGCCCGTTGATGGATGTGACCATTGACATGCAGATGCACACCCTGTGTGCCTGCAGTCTCCCAGAACTCTGCCCTCGCCCCTTTCTTGGTGAGGAGGGAAAGGCAGCCTTGAACTTTGGAGCAGCTCCTGTACCCCCTGCTCTAGACCATGTTCCACTTCTTCCTCAGAAGAGCTGGACAGTGTTTGGAGGGAAGCGGTGACCCTGCTGATTATGAAATCTGGTATAGCCTCCTGCGCATGTCAGTTTAGCATAATTTGGGTGTAATTAGCGGATAAAATCAGAAGTTGCAGTGGAGGGTGAGGGAGGGAGAGGGATGTTCTCCATCAGCCACAAACTCACAGCAGACCTCAAGGTCCTTCATGTCCAGCCCTTCCTCCAGACCCCAGGCTGCTGCCTGGGATGTCACAGGAGCCTGGTGGGAGATCACCAGCGGAGCTGTGCCCAGCTCGTGCCACTGCCCTTCCCCTTGCTGCCCTTTGCAGTCAGGGTGCGTGGCAGCTGGTGGCTAGTGTGACACTTGGACTACCAGCTCAGGGTTTTGGCGAGGAAGAGGTCTCCCACCAGTGCTCTCTAACTGCAGTTCTGCTGGCCATCCCCTCGGGGCTGCGACAGGAGGGCAGTTTCTCTTCTTCCCTTAACAACAAAGAGGCCTTTGTGTTAATCCCAGTGGTAATTCTGGGGCTCTTACAAATGCTTTACTGCTTGGTTTGGTTTGTTATGCTGTCTCATTAGCATGCTGTCCTCCAGCTGAAAGGAGCCTGGAATTGGCATGTCCTATCCGGTGGCTGTGAGACGTGCCAGTTATAGCATGGGAAAGGAGAATTGTATGGGGGACTTGAGGGGCTTGTAGGATTTGCCTGTGGCTTGTTATTTTTGTTTTGGGGGAGGAGGAGGGGGTGGTGTTAGTATTTATAAACTGCATATGTAACAAAGCTATGTTCTTGTTTTATCTCCCTTTCTCTCTTATTTTTATCTTCTTCTCTCTTATTTTTATCTCTTACTTTTTATCTTAACTTCTGGGGTCTTGGATCCAGTGATTGGCAAATACAGTCAACTTCCAGACTCAGGTATGGTCTACTGGGAGTGGGTGAATCCAAAAGGCTGGGGCTGAGGGGTGCAGAGGGAAAGCCCACTTCTATGCAGAGCCTTGGGACCCTGCTCGTAGGCAGGTGGGCTCGTTTATACACAGACTCTGAGTGTAGCATCCCCTCCACATGGTCTGACTTGCCTCTGCGTGTCAAGAGAGGGTGCAGGGATCCCCCAAGGTTTATTTTAGATACAGGGCAATGGTTTCTCAGAAAGTTTCCTTCTCAGAAGCAACATTCCTAGTTCATTTTTTTTCCAGAAGGATCTGAGCTGCCAAAGGCCCTTCTGATAAGGGGACTTAGGCACCTTTGAAAATACTTCCCTGGGCACCTTATCCCACCCAGCCTGAAGTACTGTAGTAGCAATGCAGTGACAGGCTGCAGGGATAAAAAACTACCCTTCTGTATTTGATGTAACCGACCTGTCCTTACCCAGCTTTTCCAGGGTCTGTTCTGCTGAGCAGCCATGACTTCCTACGGGGTCAGCACTGCAGCCTCACCCGCTATGCGAAAGGTGCTGGGAGCCCTGAGACCCTTAGTTTGCAAGGTGCCATGCTCACGTCCCCATCTGCCCAGCGGTATTTCATAGAATCATAGAATGGTTTGGGTTGGAAGGGACCTTAAAGACCATCTAGTTCCAACCCCCCTGCCATGGGCAGGGACACCTTCCACTAGACCAGGCTGCTCAAAGCCTCAAGAGTGGCACTTGCCCTCTCCCGCAGACATGGGGTGCGTTCCAGAAAGGGCTTAGCCCTGAGCAGTCTGTAGCACATTTCAGAAGTTGTAAACTAAGAACTCTCAAGTACCTTTTGCTCTCCTGAGAGCTGATACATCCAACAAGAACAAAAGCAGGTATTAGTTTTTGTTGGATCCAACCCAAAGAGTGCGTCTGCTTGGGACTGCATGCTTAGGAGAAGCCCTTTCTCCATGCAGATCCTGAGATTTGGCTGGATGAAGGTGTGGGGTGTTGGCTGCAAAGCTCCAATCCTTTCCCCAGTGTTTTTGTCAGCCACGATGTGTTCCCCTCATACGGCGCAATGGTCTCCAAGCAATGTGGCCTCCTCACCAGCCAGGGAAGACCACGTGAACTTGTACAACCCTGGATCAGATATCCCACCCCTGCCCGCAAAAGGTGGTGAGCAGGGATGAAGCAAGGGATATTAACATTGTGGCCAGGAGACAGTTTCCTTTAGCTTTGTTCAGGTTTTCTGGGGTTTCTCCCTGCACTTGATACACACTCTTTGCCCTCGGAAGCTTTGCTACCATTCAGCCCTGAAATGACTGAGCCAACAGCTTTGCTGGCTGTGGTGACTTAGGGGAGCACTTCGGCGTCCTTGGCATCGGCTGTCCTCACCCAGAGTTTGCAGGCTGATGATGTGCCAGGGTTTAGCACGGAGATGGGAGCGCTGTTATTTCTTTCACCTCTTGTCCTGCGAGCCTCCCCAGTGCCTAAGCCACCAAGCAGGTGTTGGGCAACTTGATGAACACTGCCTGCCTCCGCTTGTCTGTCAAACCTGGGAAGGAAGTGGCTGGTGCCTAAAAGACTGCCCAGAGATGTGGGGTTTTTTCTTGGGTTTTACCCTTTTGTGGTGGCTGGGCGTAAATAATTCAGAGATCGCTGCCATTTTCGGCATGACATTATGTTGTTTTTTTTTTTCACGTCTGTTTGTGTCTTGGGTGCTTGGGGAACGCGTTTTATAAATACCAGTTTTAAATTGGTACTACAAAAAATGACTCAAATTCTTGTCTAGGGGGAATGAGTAACATAAACCTGTTGTCTTGTTTTCTTCCTTGGAAGTTGGACCTCATTCTCAGTTTTATGAACGCGCGTGTCTCGGCAGGTATGAGTGACAGCGTCAAAGACAAATTCTCTACCGCGTTTTCCATTGTGGGTATGTTTTCTTCGCATGCTGTTGGAAGCCTCAGCGTGTTCTTCTGTGCCGAAATCACACCCACAGTAATCAGGTGAGATGTTGGAGCCCCCTCCCCCTTCCAAGGATGGGGATGAAATTACCCACATTTAATTCGTAACTGGCTGTGTGACTTAATACCTTGTATGGGTGGGGACATCCCCCATAATCGGAGACCTCGAAGCAATTTTTGGGCCGCTCTTCAATGTCACTGCAGTCAGTCTGCCTGAGCAAACGCCTGCCTGTAGACAGAGGCTTCGTTTCCCATGGCTCCACCTTGTGTCCTGTCGCGGTGGTGATCGGCAGGACAAGCGTCGCAAGCGTTGCGCTTGTTCGCAGTGCGGTAGGGTTTTAACCTCTCGGTCGTGCAGATGCACCATGTTTTTGCTAAAATGAAAGAGGGGAGATTTAGATTGGACTTCAGGAAGAAAATCTTCCCGGAGAGGGTGGTGAGGCACTGGAACAGGTTGCCCAGAGACGCTGTGGATGCCCCATCCCTGGAAGTGTTCAAGGCCAGGCTGGATGAGGCTTTGAGCAACCGGGTCTAGTGTAAGGTGTCCCTGCCCATGGCAGGGGGGTTGGAACTGGATGGTCTTTAAGGTCCCTTCCAACCCAAGCCAGGCTGCGATTCACTTACTGTGTTGGACTTGGGCAAGCCGTGACCATGTGAGTCTACGGCTTGATACTGAAAGAGAAGTTCCACAAATGTGCAGAAGAGGGCATGGCATAGGTGCAGGCAATCCCTGCCTCTGTAGGGCAGGATAATCAGGCCAGCTATAAAGATGCTACAGGGTGTTAAATGCTTTTGGTGCATATAGGTGCTCTCGAGAGTCTGCAGTCATGCCTCTCCTACAGCAACACCAATGAGAGAGGTCTGCATTTATTGCAGACAAAGTCATCTTTATCTTTGCCCTCAGATCTGCCTTAGCAGAGGTGCAAAGGGTTTTTTCTAAAGAGAAGCGGTTTCATCCTGAGCAGTAGCAGAATCGGGCAGATGATCTTCACTGGAGAGCTTCCCGTAAAATGCCTCTGGGCGGTCAGGATTTTGTGCTATTTTATGTATTCGCTGTTACCTGTCACAGCACAAACGTCCTGCATCCTGGATTATGCTTTCAGCAATGCCACAGTGATTCAGGAGTCCACCCTGGCTCCCTTGAATTTCCCAGGAATGTAGGTCATATGGGTGGGAGGGAGAGAGGATGAAAGGAAGAGGATTCTTTTTTTTATATGCCTTTTCAGTAACTTTGCAAACTGTCAGTTGAGTAGCCAGAGTGTCCTTGATCCGTGGCCTTTTCTTCCAAGCTCTCTGACTTCGTGAATGTATTTTACAGATAACGTTATTTCCACAGGGAAAGGCAGTGTGAGTAGTGACGAGATTATACAGCAGCCAAAACACTAACAGCTATTTACTTATGTGCTTGTCAGTCAGTTTGGTGTTTCCATGCCTCTTTAATTTTCTCCTTGTGTTTGTTTGAAAGACGTATAGATAGGGAATTGGCCACATCAACCAGAAGAGAATCTGCCGAGTAGGGTCAGATGCACAGCGTGAACTTAGCAAGTTTTTTTTCCTTAAATCACTTATGTAGCTACAGGGTCGGGGACAAAATCCTGTCTGGGAGATGAGCTTCTGCTTCCCCTGACTTGGGTGACACCAGATGAGTGGCAATAGGTGGATATGCCTCAGGGACCCCATCTATTAATAGGGATGGTGACATGGCAGCTCTTTGCAGTCCTGCCACGGTGAAGTTCTTGGTAAGATCTGCTCAGGGCTGTAATTAGGATGTGGTGCTGAGGTTGGTGCATAAACATCTGTCAGGCAGAGGTGTGGTTAAGCTACCTCATATCTTGCTTTTGAGTGGGATGTGGCTGCTCCCTCATAACCTGTTCCCCAAAAGGTCATCCTCAGACGACCTTCAGTGTTTCACACCATCTTAATATGTTTTTGGTTGGATCTTGAGGGACCTTAAGGAAAAGACAGGCAGAGAGAGCACTGAGGCTGTCTCTGGGGTTTCCTTGATCAAATCCTTTACCTGTAGTCCCCAGTCCCTGAGGGGAGGAGAACAGCAGTGCTGTTACTGGGATAGCAGTGGCATGATGGTCGATCGGCAGCGCCTGTCCTGCTCTACTGTTGTGGCATTGAAATGAACAGCTACGGCACTGTAGGACGAAAACAGCCATCCTCACGCCAAGAGGTGCCGTCAGCTCCAGAGACGCAAAGGTCCCACACTGTCATGCCACACAGAGTGGTCCTTCATACCATTGCACTGCACCCCACTCTCCTGGTGATAGGCAGGAGGGCTTCACCACAAGCTCCTGTTCCTTGTATCGGTGTTTCCACACTGAGCTCCTTCCAGACACTGAATTTAAGCACAGATAATCCATCTTTAATAATCTCGATGGGAACACCACTGTGGGTTGCACGGCTACCAAGTAGGAAAAGGCTGAGGAAACTGTGGTGTGCCCTCTCCCCGTCCTCTGCATGTTCAGTCACTAACAAGTGGCAAAGCAATCAGGTTTTCTCTCTCTCTGTCCTGCTTTTGCCCCCACCCAGCCAAAGAAGTGAAGAATGGGCAGTGGTGGCTGAATCAGAACCTTTACCCATCAACAGCTGTCTCCAGCCAGATTTCCAGTGGGGTACAGTGCTGTTTACTGGGATCTGAACCAGGCCTGGTTTTTCAGAGGTGGTGCCTTGCCCCATGAGGCCAAGGGCATCCAGGTTTTTGCTGTGATCTGAAAAGACACTGCAGTAGAGAGCGAGGAAATTCTCTGCCGTGACCAGGGAGGTCCTGTCAGAGGACAACATTTCGAACCAAGGTCCCTTTGCGATTTGCCCGCTTCAGGACTGTAAGCCTCCCGCAAGCCATCCTGAACAAAAATCTTCTAGGATGCGTACCAAAATGTATTTTCAAGCCACCTTCTGCCAGGTTTTGGTGTTGCTGGACAAAGTAACGCCTGCTCTAATTACTGACGTCATATGGAAAAGCATCTTTTTTTCCCCTCCAGACCTGAAGCCGCTTGACCCATACGGACAGAGCCGTCTTTGTTGTTGCCTTTTCCTGTTTCCTTTCAGCTTGCTTGATGTCCTTCTCCAGCAGCTTTTAAAACTCACCTCAGGTCCCTCTCGGTGGTTGAGATACAATTTAGGCGTCGCGAACACTGATGTAAATGAAACGACCTTTTGTTGCTCCGGAGCCAATTTTGGGTGGGATTTGCCATGCGTTCGGGGCTGGTTGTGTCGATTGCTCATGTGAGTGTGTTAATGAAATTGCAGGGGGGCCAGTTGCACAATGGCCTCATTCAGCTGGGTTTCTAAATTGCCATCGGAAAGCTGGCAAGTTGTTAATTAGTGCTTTTGCAGTATTTGGGGAAATCACTGATGTCCGTGAAAGGTGGTCTGCTGATCAGGAGAATTAGAGGGTCCGTCCGTGAATTTTTGATCCCAAGAGTATTTTTGGAAACCTGTGCTTGCTGCCTTTTAGCTGTCAAGCAAGCAGCCGTGGATTTTGGAAAGCATGGGTGAAGATTAACGCTGTGGTTGGCTGCGTGAATTTGGCATTTGTAGGTTTATAGTGCTGAGATTTCTAGTACACTCAAGTCAATGAAACTTTTGTTTTTTCCCCCAAGCAGTTGATGTAAAGCAATTCATTTGCCTTCTGCAGTTGTCTTCTGTAAGGTCCAGTTATCATTAATAATTACAACTCTGCCACTGGGCCAGGAACCAAAGCGTCTGAGCCCGTCTGATCACCGGAGGGTTTGGGAAGAGATCGCATCTCCCAGAGGAGCTGCAGGAAGTGTGCTTGTGCTGGGTTCAGCCAGGAAAGGGTTAAATCTCTTTACGAGCTCGGGGGGACAGTGGGGAGCAGGGTGCCAGTGCTAGAGCTCTCCCTCTACAGACAGCGGGGTCTCTGGAAAATCAAGGACAAGCTGCCACTCTCAGGGATGTTGCTAAAATGAGTCACTGGAGGGTGACTCTCCGCTGGGCAGAGACCTCGGTTGTGCCGCAGCAGGAGGAAGGAATGGTGTGCCCCTGGGAAACACCTGTGGTGCTGCTTCTGTAAGGGGTCACCCCGTGGGGACAGGCCCCAAGAGCGTGAGGCATGCCTCAAAACAAGGTGGTCGAGTGGTCAGAGGTGTGCCCAGAATGTCTGCTCCGGGACCTGGAGAGACACTGATAAGCCAGACAAGGAATTGCAAGAGAGGCTGCTTGCATAGCCGAGCATCAGGAAGGAGCCCTTAATGTGACTCCCCCCAGGCTTGTGACTGGGGGGGATGAGGACATTTTCACACTTCTTTTTTTTCTTTTTCAAGCTTTAATGTGTTTTCACTTTTTTGGGGAGTGTGTGCACGTATGATCTCAATACACGAGCACACTGCATTTCGTAAGTAAGCATTTGTGCCATAAAGAACGTTTTATAAAGTTACCTATTTACAGTTTAAGCATTTCACCAATGTTAACCCTTTCGTAACCCCTTTCCATGATACAAGAAGAGCAAGAGATCATGAAGTGAGGGACATACCTCAGCTTTTACAGTGAGTTGGGAGGAGGTCTCAGAAATCACTCCGAAACTCCTGTTCTTCTGTTCTGACCACCAGCTACTTTGCCTTCTTTTTTTCCTTCTGAAAATTACACACATTATTACGACGTCATTGTGTGAAGAGGTTCCAGCCCAAACACGTTTTTATGGAGGTTATATTCCAGCACTGAGTGTTCGGTATAACGGATCAAGGCAGTGGCCTGTAAAGTCTGATCTCCTGCCTCCGCTGCTGATCGCTCCCAGGCGCTTCAGAGGCAGAGAGGGTTGACTCCCGCACATGCTGCTGCGTGGTGTGTCCTGTGTACCCTGGAGAAGGCTGGCACGCTAAAGCAAAATCTGGTTTTCCTTCATCAAATACGGGATACTTGGAAATGGGAATACGTTAGAGGGCGGTCTGCGCGCTCGCATGATAAAGTTCCTCTGCTCCTTATGTGGGGGCAGTTATATGGGGGTGAAAAGATACTTAATTAGTGCTTTTGGGGGCAGTTAAATGGGAGTTATTTCCCCACGCTGAGGCAAATAGGCAGCAATGAGCCACAAGAGCAAAGCAACTCCCGCTGGAGTAACTGTCCGGCAGGAAAGCTGTGAGTAAACCAGGCTTGCTTCAGAGATTTTCGGATGCCAGGGTGCGTGCCAGACAGGAGGTTCGTCTGGGGGAGCCGTCAGGGCTGTGGGGTCCCTACCCCAGTGCGGATGTGGCCAGGCCCTCACCTCTTGCTGTCTTTGCAGGGGAGGCGGGCTGGGGCTGGTCCTGGCCAGCGCGGGCTTCGGCCGCCTGACCGCCCCCATCATGGAGCTCCACAACCAGAAAGGCTACTTCCTCCACCACGTCATCTTCGCCTGCTGCACGCTCATCTGCATCATCTGCATCCTGCTGCTGCCGGAGAGCAAGAACCAGAACCTGCCCGAGAACATCCCAGACGGGGAACATTACACCCGGCAGCCCCTCCTGCCGCACAAGAAGGGGGAGCAGCCCCTGCTCCTGACAAACTCTGAACTCAAGGATTACTCCGGCCTCCACGACTCAGCAGCTGTGAGCGACGGGATCTCTGAGAACACCACTGCCAATGGGATGAAGTCGATGTAACCGGGTGGATTTCTTTTTTTCCTTCTTCTTTTGGTTGGGTTTTTTGTTTTGGTTTGGTTTTTTTCCCCCCTTCTACTCTTTCTTTTTTATTTTATTTGATGCTGTTGTGCAGGAGGAGCAGCACTTTGGGCAAAGGTGTTTTGCACAGGTTTTACAAACAAGTGATGGAGCAGACGCAGACTTGGGAGAATTCAACTCTGCTGCTAAAGCAACTTTTGGCATCTTCAACTGTTGTGCAGATTGCTCTTGAAAAAATTACAGGGGAAAAGACTCATCTGAGAAAAGACCTGGCTGGAGGTAGCCCTTCAGAACTTTTTTTTTTCCTGCCATTAAATTTGTATATTTATTTTGATTTATTCTCAAGAAGCACTTTATTTCCTTTTCCTTTCATAGATCACAAAAGTGAAGCCATCTTATAATAAGAGGTGCAGCCATTCCAAGAAAGAAACCGTGGAGGGTGGGTCGGGTGGGAAAGGGGCATGTTCTGTTTTCTTTTTGTGTTTCTTTAAAGGAAAGAGGGATCCACTGCGAAGTTGAAATGACTGAAATTGAGACTTGTGCAACGTTCTTCTGCCTGTCTAGAAAGTCCAAGCGCCCAGGTTGCCTGCTGTGTTTGTATACACCAAAAACCTGTTGTGACTCAAACTCTGACTGCATTTTAGGCAGCTTATGTTTGGTTTTGTGGCCCGTGTGCACTTAAAAGTTACTTTCTAAATTAGTACTTTTTTATTTTTTCACTGAATGCAGTGAAGAAAATCCTACCCAAACAAGCTGATTTTTCAATGAGATCAGCTTTCTGCGTTTTAAGAGCCCGTCAATCCGTTAGACAGTTCCCACTGGTGGTTAATAGTAATATAGAGGATGTAAATGATTTGACCAATGACGCAAATATTAGTTTTGCCAAGAATGGCTTTAAATTGCCAGGAGGACTAGAAGTGACTGCTCCAGGAGAAACACATAGACTAACAGGAGAAAAAAAAAAAATAAATAAGGAGCACAGGCTACAGTCTGTATTTTTATTCCAAAAGGCAGCATAGCTGGGATTCCCACTCCTGGGAAATGAGCGTCCTGGCATTGTCTGACCTGTTTTTAGAACCAAGGTTTGGGTTTTCAGTTTAAGTGGACAAAATGCTTAACTGACTATTGGAAAGGAATGAATTGATAGCTTGTGAATAATGACTTACTGTTTGCTGATAGCCTGTGAATAACAACTTGCTGTTGGCTGTCTTGGGGCTTTTAGAGATGTTTGCTGGTTCTGACCCAAGAATATACAGTAAACTCACCCAGATTTCCCCCCTCGCCCAACTGCTGTCGTAGGATTTTCATTCAGGAAAAAAATAAGCTTACTGAAATTGGATCAATCCTACTCTAGGCTAAACAAGGTGAGCATCCAGTTTGTCTCCTACTGTGCAGATGGCACTTTGATAGTGGCCACTTGACTACTCCAGCCCCCAAACCATTTCCTTTGGCCACCGGCTTTTGGTTCTCACTGTGCAAATATCATGAGGATCTAGTTCAATGCAAGGACTTTGTTTACAAGGGGCTTTCTTGCATCGTAGTTAACCTCCCTCCTCTCCCTCCCTCTCCTCCTTTCTCACTCAGGCCATCCATTTGTGATCGCGGTAGTGCAGCCGCTCCAACCAACAGAGCAGCAGGATGTCGATGTTGTATTGAGTGTCCACTTGATTGCCACTTTGTTTGATGTGCATCTTGCGTTCGTACGCAGGGAAAGCGCTCGTTTGCACTTTCCTCCTCTACCTTCCCTCCCCCTTCCTCCTCTGCTGTATATATTGTCGATTAACTACTGTTCCTAACAATTTCCATCCTCCATTAGGCTGCCGATGTCCTTACGCCAGCCCCGAAAAATCAGAGACGCGTGCTCCCTGGTGGGCGATGCGGCAAGTCGCGCAGCCGCAGAGGCTGACGAGCACAAGGGGGGGGACAGGTAGACCTGCAGAAGCGACAGAGATTGTTGTGTTCACAGTAACAATGTTGTCCTAAAGCTGCTAATTTTTGTACAGAGGATGTGGACATTTGGGTTCTTCTTGAGCCTGGTAAGAAACACTGGACCAGTTGATGGTAGTTTTGCCCAAAGTTACGCTACTGGGGTGGGTTTTTCTTTTCGCCTTTGCTAGACTCGCTATGACAGCGAGCGCCCGATCTTCCATACACTCAAGTTTTATTGCCTAGCTCGAGCGCGGCCGCTTCCCTCTTTTCATTCCGCGCTGAGACTTCTGCAGTTTGTATTTCACCAAGGGAAAAAACCCCAGGCCTTCCCCATTCACGCAGTATTCACGTGCCAAATCTGCGCGATACCTTCTGCCTTCGATAAGAGATGCTTGTTGCGAGCCACACACGTTGAAGGCGAGGGGGAAAGTTGGGTTCACAACAAAAAAAAATAATGAAGGAGCAAAATACATCTTAAGGGAAGAGAAAAAAGGCCTGAAAGCGGAGCAGGGGCGAGTGCAGAGGCAGAGAGCGGTTGCCCGACGTCTGTCGTGCCGTGGAGACAGCGGCTCCCTCGTTTGCGGCCTCTGTGCGCGTGCGCTCAAGCCACGGCACGGCTCTTGTAGACCATCTGCAAGCCTATTAAACCGGCTGCTTCCAGCACTGCCAGCGGTCCTGCTGTGCTCCTCGCTGTTGTCCGCAGCGCTTTATCGTTTCCGATTCTGGTGGTTGCTCTCCGATGACGGGCCCAGGGAAGAGAATGCTTGTTTAAACATATCAACGTTTATATCATAAACAAACTCAGTGACAGGAACAAGCAGCAATTTATTGTTTTTTATTTCTTAGGAAATTGACCTGATTTGCTGTTTTGGGGTTTTTTTGCCTGTAACCAGGTAGTCGGTACTGATCTTCTGCCGCACGAGGAGCCCCAGCTTCTCGCGTTGCTCTGGCCCTCTGCCTCTGTCATAACAATAAACCACAATCTCATTTCCTGCCTTGGCAGCTCCAGTTTTGCTCCTTTTCCCGCAATTCTGGGATTTATTTTTCTTCCCCGCACACGCACACGGAGTTGGAAAGCTTTTTGCTGAGCGTGTCTGGTGTGGAGGTGTCAGGTACCAGGTGACGCAGCAGGGCAGAAGGGAAAGGTGCAGATGCTTACCCTGGTCCTGCGGCGGGACGGGGCTGTCAGACCGTCACACCGTCGGCTCCTCCGCAGCGTCACCGGGAAAGGCTTTCCTCCGGCAGCTCTTTCTGGCTGCCACAGCATGTCCTTTTTCTATGAACCTTCAGTAACCTCTAAGCCCATCAGTGGATTTTTCTTTGGTTTTACCATTTAAGGGCTTTCTTCCATCTTCGTAATTTTAAAGAAAAATGTGAAAGTGACATTATGCTTGATCTTGGGGGGTGGGGGTCCCCTTTTAAGGTTTCAGTACTGCTTTTGTTGCCAGAGGCGCTGCAAACGGACACTGACACAATCGCCTGTTTGCGAGTGGTTTGTGGCCACTCAGAAAGGGGGTTGCGTGATTCGCTCTTTTGTTTCATTGAGCAGGATTTTTTTTTGTTTGTTTTCTGATGGAAGTATTTTACTTAACTGTTGCCACTTCCTGGAGCCACACACTAAAGGTCACCAAATTGGAAGCAGAAGTGCCATTAACTGAACTCTGTGAATGTCAAGCCGAGTTGCGCCTGTAGCTGGCACATAAGACAACGCTATTAAGTGGGGGGATGATCTCGCCCACAGTAACTCTTCTTTTTTTCTTTCTTTCTAAGAAAAATAAAATGACAAACCTCATTTTAAATGTATTGTGTAAAACGTTTCGGGAAAGGAGTATGGTGTGTTACGTCTAGTGGGTGAGACCTCCCTCCCCATTTCAGTTTCCGATGAAGTTTTAAAGAATCGTGTTACTGTACGTTTTGATCATGAGTAGTCTGGTGGTGCTTCCTCATAGCACAAGCTTAAACCAAGTACTGAAAACAGTCTTACAAGCTAAATGTCTGCATGATGTTACATCTGTTGTACCTACTGAAAAGAACTTTGTATGTAAATGTACAGAATAAAATGACGTTGTCCCATCAGTTTGCTCTCCGTGGTCTGGCTCCCTCGCTGCGTCCGCGCTGAAACAGCCCGGCAGCAGCTAACGTTGATGCCTCAGCAAACACCCCTGCCCTCCTCGACAAACAGAAGGAGCTGATGTTACATCAGGCTAATTAAATCAGCACATTGATTCGCAACTGATTATGCCTTTTATTCAGTCACAGAAGAAGAGTTGACTCTGTTTCCTAGGTTGTGTAAATTAAAGAAGAAGATACCCTCCAACAACTGCTTTTTGCGATCCCAAACTGCGGCCAAGGACCTGCAGCTTCTTCACCTGCAGTTCCCACCAGGTAAGGAAGGGCCCTCTGCACCCACAGGCAACCTGCAACGCCGAAGTTGCAGCGTGTTCAAAACCCCTTGGGACAAGAGACTTATCAAGGGTTGCTCCTTCTACATCAGCGACCCCCTCGGTTACAGATTTTAAGTCGTGGCACCGCAGCAAGCCGAGTCCATCGGTTTTCTATAGGGGGCGAGGAGAGCTGTCTAGCCGCAGCACTAGTGGTTTTTGTTGGTGTCGGAAGCTTACGTCCAAATCAGGGTCTGCTTGCAATTCCAAAGGAAATAACCCCGACTCTCTCACCAGGTTGCTACGCTCAGTGTTCCTCCCAACAGCTGTGAATCGCCGCTGGTGAGCCGTAGCACAGCTCGTATCGATGGCTGCCAACGGGCACCGTGCCGTGGGCTCTACGGTTGGTTGAGGGGGGTTTTGTATGCTTAACTTTTAGCTGTTCTTGAACAAAATAGCATGTGGATCTGCCTCTGAAAGGATATCCACCCTACCTAAAAGCAAACTTAGAGACGCAGCAGCAGGATTATTTGCAGTGGTGGTAGTGACCACTCTTGATTTTTGTAACTACTGCTCTATTGACACACAGGGCTTCCTGTAGCAGCCTAACGGGTTTATCTGTTGCTCCAAAATTCAAGTTATGCTTTTTCCTTATATATATCCCTCAGGGATGTACAGAAAACCCTCTGTGAAACTCTTCCAGTGTTCTCCGCGCCCAAGAGATGGAAGGAAATCCAGTGTCGAGCACTAGTACAATAACCGACGGGAAATAAAAAAAGATAGAGCAAGGTAACCCTCATTTTATGTTAAAGCTTTTCAATACTAAAAACATGGTTTGGGGTTTTTTTATCGGAACACTACAGGCTGCTGTACTATGTTCAGTACTAGTACAGAGTAGATGAATTGTACAGGTAGAATTTGGAACCAATTTCCCAGCAGATCCCCATAGCACATGCCAGCCACTCACCGCACGGGCTTTTTACGGTCACGTTCTCAGGTTGTGGTGTGTTTTCGACTCTACCTGCCTTCCCTGCTTTTGAAGGAAAAAAAAAAAAATCCAGGTCCAACCATATTTAGGTCCATCTATATTTAGTAACAACTGCAAATTCAATCAAAACGATACAAACCAAATAAACCAACTTAATGTCAGTGTGAAAACTGCAATCAGTTTTTCTAAAACAAAAACTCGGGTTATTTTACAATGATGCGAAGTCAGAACTTCTCTGGAAAAGCCATCATTTCTTCTTTGATCCTGTTTTCTATGAGCAAGGTGAAATTGCTGTCTGTGTTTT